ATCCACGAACCTTTCTATAGGTAGCAATTGCTTTTCCTAAACTTCGAAGAGGAGAGCGAGTCAAGCCGCCGTCGCGCGCGTTATCTTAAGGCTATTTTTCATGCCATTGCAACGGCGATCTCTCCCCAAGCCCCCTCTGCCGTCATCGGATCTTAAGCTCGTTGATATAATGCATTTGGGTGTTAAGGGTCGATTTCCTTTCGGACCTCTTTATTTCCTAGGAGGTCAAACATTGATAGGAATTTCAAAGGATAGGTCAATATTCAACCATCTGTAGAAAGTTTATGATAAATATCGAGAATCCGCCGACCGTTGCAAATTTTCGAAAATCATTTTTATTTTCTTCAGGAACCTTTTGATGAACCCTTTTCGGAAATTATATCAAAATGTTGTACTGCACTTTGCTGCCGTATAAATCGAAGAGTTCAAAAGTTGACGGCTGTTCGTCCCCCACCCCTGCCTTTATATAGCAGTGAAAAATTATGCAACTTTGGGAACTTCGTGCGCCTCAACGCGATGCAATCCCACTTTGAAATCCAGACAACGCTAAATAAAATCACACAAATTTGAAACATGTGTTTACATAGCAAATGTCACAAAATTGATTCTCAATAAAATAGTCTGAAGGTGATTGTTTTCTTGGAAAACAGAGCGCGATGTAATCTAAGGGGCTGCGTGCCTCTATGCGACAAAATGATCATCAAATCAAATTCAACTCAGTGGTTGTCGTAAAGGACAATAGATTATCCTTGCAGTTATAGCTTTAGTTCGCTCACGCATCAAATATGCTGAAATGACCCCATTAAGGTCCTTAGCCCAATATCTTTCCCGGAGGACATTGTTCAAATCAGTCCTGAAACTCTCCCTTTCTTGCCCTCGAGATATCGTCCTACCTCCTCCCCTGAACTTAATGTCTACTTGACTTATCTCCCTAATTTCGTTCTTTTTGTGTAGCAATCTGTAAAGATGCATAGGATACTAAGTTTATTATTATTTTTTTTTAATTTTAAGGCTGATTAGAGTATTGTTTCTACATTGGCATTAAAAATTAACATAGGAAAGAGGTCAATAAATTAAAGATTATTTATTCATCTTAATTTACAATGAAAAGCACAGCAACATTGAACATTCCCAATTTTTCCCAAGAATGGTAGAATGTTAGACATTTCCCTAAACTCAATATTTAAAGACAAGAAAGATCATGGCCGGGAAGGGGAGAGAGAATGGTATACTGCTATTTAAGATGTAACATGCAGAACAGGCGTCGTTCCTTTAGGCGTTTTTTAGGCGAGCAGAAGCACGCGTAAGCGGCGAATGCCGGAGGCGAGACACATGCTAGAAAAAGAGCTACTTCCCTGGGGCATGATTATGAAAATGCACTGGTTTGCCTTTGCTTACCTGAATACACATTAAAAAGAAACAGAAGTTGCCACGTTCGCGAACAGAGTTTTGAGTGTAGCAGATACTAGATTCAATCGTTTCATGAGTACATTTTTTCCATCCGGCTTTGATTTGTTCAGTGCAAGGGTCTTATGTTTCAGCTAAAGAAAATGAACACAACACACAGGTTAGTTCAAAGCATTTTTCTAATGCTTCTTTCTTTAACGCTTAATTGTTTGTACTCATATATTCAAATAGGAAGTTCTAACCCCTATGATCTCACACTTTGAGTAAACACGGCCAAAAGCAAAACGCTGGTGACAAACATCGAATGTGAAGTAAAATGAAAAGCACCGTGGTTACGTCGCAGTCAACTGAAAATGAAATAGTTTCGGGTTAAATTATTACTTACAATATTCTTAGTTGAAGCGACAAATGGTTTCGTAATTTACAACTTGTGTTTCTGAGTAGTTGGGTCCCTTGATTCGCTCTCTCGATGCTTTATCTTGATGCTTACGTTTACGACCGTTGATGACCAGCTTCGAATGTCGTTACAGCATCATAAATTGTTCCTTTTAAATTGTAAGTCACATGACCTTATTTTCCCGCCGCGCGTAGTCGATCCGAATTCGCAATTACGATAATTAATCCTAATTCTTTACTACGCGCTCCACTGAACATGCAAATCAACATGCTTGTTCTTTCACCGAAGAATTGACACTGAAGATTGAGCAAGAAAGGAAATTAAACGAAAGCTAAAAATCGAGAATGTTCAAAACCGTGACCCGTTCTCAATACATTAGAAATTTTATTCCTGCGGCGAAAGGGTTTGATCTAGTTATCAATTTATTAGCATAGCCTCGTGATTATTAAAAGTTAAATTTTGTATGCAGATTGCTCAGAATACGAACTTTCTTGTTGAAAGGGAAGTATAACTCAACTGGGCTCACTTGAAAAATGCAAATTTGCAATTGCGTAGATTAGATTATATGCAAGGCTGGAAATCAGGCGAACAAACAAGCACTTTATAACGTAGTAAGGCCAGAAACTCATAGAAACTAAAAGACAAACTGACAAAAAAGAGTGAAAAAGGAGCAATTTCTTACTATTGCACCGCCTTTCCGGATTCTCTAAGGCATTTGAATAAACAAATTTCTCACTTAATGTTGAACTTTTTAAAAACAGCGGTGATCTTTTCCTAGTCATCCTCTCTTCGTCGACTGGAAGCCCTGGACTTTATAAGAACACAGCCAATATAAGATACGATGGGAATTTTAGAAAAAAACATGGAGAATGCCCCCAAGGCTTCTCAAATGAGACATATCTCTTTCACAAATTACTCTGATTCCTGTCACCAGCCATTCTTGTTATAGTAACATTATTTGAAAGGTTTCAACTTAATTCATTGCTTTTTGCGCTTGTAATATGTACGAAGACAAGTGCACCATGCCATAGAACATATCCAAAAACATATTGTGAAGAGCTATTCCGTCACTAATAGATTAATGTTGTGATTACTAAATCACTCACTTATGTTTCCCAAGTCTTATCAACAAATACCGCACTGGTTCCCCATAAGTTCAAGGACGTAAACTAAAGCGTAAAATCGTTATTTTTGGACTTTCAAATGATTCGATATGCATACTTGCTGTTTGAGCATTGACTTTTATCGAACGAAGCAAGAAGTGATTACACCATGATTGATTGAAAGAACAGAATCTTCGGTGGAAACA